TTCATTGTCAGCAGGATGTGAATGCGGGATGTCATTGCTGACATCTGATGGGTCTTGACTGAAAGCAGAGGATACCAGAACGTGCTTTATTGCATCTAATCTGTCTTTAGATGATCCGTAAACTCAGGTGGGATATGTTCATTGTTGTGTTTTGACTCTTGTGGACTTGTTTTCAATTTTCTTCAACTTCAGTTTGAACTTGCTTTATTTATTTATACAATAAGGGCTTTATTGTCTGTATTTTATTGACTACACAAGCAAAGATTTTTGAATGAGCGGATCACGACAAACAAAGGACAACATTGTGGAGAGTAGGTATTCTGGAACACTTGGCCAAAAAAAGAAAAAAGGCCGACGCAGTGACAGCAGCAATCGGCTCATACGTAGCAAACCAGCGGGGTTGGAATAGCTCTGGCCAGTGTTTCCTTCCGTTGTGCATAGGGTTGCTATGAGTCGGTATTGATTCAATGGTGCCTAACAACAGCAACAACTTTCTTTCCCATTTTATGGCTTACAGGTGGTCCTGTCAGGGATGAGAGAGCACATGTGCTGACAGGGAGAAGCCAGTGGAAACATACATCCCCTCAGTAGGTCTAAAGATGAAGTTCAGGAGACACCCTTTCTATGGGAAAACAGGGCACAAATCCAGGTAACACTGAGTTCTGGTATATGTAGTTCTCTCTGCGAGTCCAAGAGGCCTTGGTGGCAATGAATAACAACATGGGACAACACTGAAGTCTTTCTCTGGGATTTCATTTCATGTAATGAATTTCATGTCTTCTCTTTCCCTGCCCTCACCTCTTCCCCACAAGGAATGATACAAGGTTTTCTTATGTTCACACTGCTAACATGGATGGTAAGATCTTTAAGGATGGAATGTTGAAAACTCGTTTTAAAGCAAGAGAATTTCAAAAGGAACAGAACTGTGTTCCAAAAGGCATCACAGTGTGAAGAGGAGAGCTGTTTTTAAATATTTATCACCATTACACTGCGGCGCTGTAGGATAAGTACTCGTCCACAGGGTCGGTTTTAACCACAAGACTGGCAGTTCAAATCCACCAGCTACTCCTTGGAAACCCTATTTGGGGTCTCTATGAGTCGGCACTGACTTAACAACACTTGACAACAACAGGACACTGATGGGAATTAGCAGCTTGGACACTTTCTGGACACTCAAAGGTCCCATGATGTGGGAAAGAACAAAGGAATCCCACGAGTGCTTGGATGAGTAAGTAAGCTTCTTCTTCATCATTGTTGGTGTTAGGTGTTGTCCAGTTGGATCCGACTGATAGCAGCCCTGTGGACAACAGAACGAACCAGTGTCCACTCCTGTGCTATCCTCACAGCTGTCATGTGTGAGCTGACTGTTGTTGGCACTGTGTCATTCCATCTCTGGGTGGTCTTCCTCTTTTTCACTGTCCTTCTCTAGGGACTGATACACTATTGACAACATGTCCTAAGTCTGAGAGACACAGTCTCGCTATTATGGGTCTAAGGAGCATTTTGGCTTCAACACAGATTTGTTTGTTCTTCCAGATGTCGTAGTACTATCAATATTCTTCTCCTATGCCATAATTCGTGCTTGCTGAAAGTGAAGAGGACTTGAAACATTTACTTATGAAGATCAAAGAGCACAGCCTTCGATATGGATTACATCTCAATGTCAAGAAAACAAAAATCCTCACCACTGGACCAATAAACAACATTCTTATCAATGGAGAAAAGACTGAGGTTGTCAAGGACTTCATTCTTCTTGGATCAACTATCAACACTCGCGGAAGCAGCAGTCAAGAGATCAGACGACGTATTGCACTGGGCAAATCTGCTGCACAGGAACTTTTTAAAGCATTGAAGAGCAGAGATGTCAGCTTGAGGACTAAGGTGCGCCTGACCCAGGCCATTGTGTTTTCAATAGCCTCATATGGATGCGAAAGCTGGACAGTGAATAAGGAAGATCATAGAAGAATTGATGCCTTTGAGTTGTGGTGTTGGAGGAGAATACTGAAAGTGCCATGGACTGCCAGAAGAACCAATAGATCTGTTTTGGAAGAAGTGCAGCCAGAGTACTCCTTGGAGGCCAGGATGGCTAAGCTTCGTCTCTCCTACTTTGGACATGTAGTCCGGAGGAAACAATCGTTGGAGAAGGATGTCATGCTGGGTAGGGTGGAGGGTCAGAGAAAAAGAGGAAGACCCCCAACGAGATGGATCAGCCAGGTGGCATCATTGATGGACTCAGGTGTGGCAGCGGTAGTGAGGTTGGCCCAGGATCGGACATTGTTTCGTTCTGCTGTGCATGGGGTCGCTATGAGTCGGTTCCAACTCGATGGCACCTGACAACAACAACAACATGCCATAATTCTAATGCATCGATTCTTCTCCAGACTTCTTTATTGACTATCCAACTTTCACATGCATGAAGTGATTGAAATATCATGGCTTGGGTCCGGCATCCCTTACTCCTCAAAAAGACATCTTTGCTCTTTACCCCTTTAAAGAGGGCTTTTGCAGCAGACTTGCCTGATGTAATATGTCCTTTGATTTCTTGACTGCTGCTTCCATGAGCGCTGTGAATTTAAGCAGAATGAAGTCTTTGACAACTTCAATCTTTTCTCCATTTATCATGGTGTTACTTACTGGTCCAGTGGTGAGGATTTTTATTTTCTTTACCATGAGGTGCAACCCATGCTGAAGGCTGTGGTCTTGATCTTCATCAGTATTTGAAGTCCTCTTTGTTTCCAGCAAGCAAGGTTGTATCATCTGCATTTCACAGGTTGTTAATAATCCCAGTGCCTGCTTATCATATAGTCTGTTATAATCCCCAAACGTGAATACTTTTGCACAGCCAATAAAGCTAATACAAATCTTCCTGGTATTCTCTGCTTTCAGCCAAGATCCATCTGATGCCAGCAATGATATCCCACATTCATGTCCTATTCTATATTCAGCTTGAATTTCTGGCAGATCCCTGTCAATATACGACTGAACCATTCTTAAATCATCCTCAGCAACCAACTAGAAGACATTTATATTTGTGTGCATTCCAAAGAAAGGCAACCCAACAGCCTGAGGAAATTATGAAACAGTATCATTAATATCACACAGAAGCCAGATTTTGCTGAAGATAACTATAAAACAATTATAACAGCACACTGACAGAGCTGTCAGAAATTCAAGCTAGATTTAGAAGACAATATGGAATGGGGGGGATCACTGCTGATGTCAGATGGTTTTTAGCTGAAAGCAGAGAATCCCAGAAAGATGTTTGTTGTTGTTAAGTTCCGTGGAGTTGGTTCTGACTCATAGTAACCCTCTCTAGGGTTTCTGGGGAGTGACTGGTGGGTTTGAACCACCGATCTTATAGTTAGCAGTCCAGGGCTTTGGATAGGACCCCAGAAAGCAGTGTACTTATGTTTTATTGACCATGCAAGCTTGCTTGTAGAAAGCAAAGACGATCTGCAGCACTTGCTGATGAAGATCAAAGAATAATGTCATCACCATAAATTACAACGTAAATCCTCACAGCTGGGCCAATAAGAAATGGAGAAAAGATTGAAGTTGTCAAGGATTTCCTATGTTGGAACCACAATCAATGATCATGGAAGTAGCAGTCACGGAACCAAAGGACACATTGCACTGGGCAAAGATGGGTGCCCTGTTTTGACACTTGTTTTAAGTGTTAAAGAGCAAAGCTGTCACTTTGAGGACTACGGTATGCTTGACTCAAGCCATAGTATTTTCAGTTTCCTCAGACACTTGCGAGAGCTTGACAATGAATAAGGAATATAGGAGGAGAACTGATACATTTGAATTATGGCGTGGGCAAAGAATATTAAACGGACTATGGACTACAAGAACAAGAAATGAGTGGATGTGGGAAGAAGTACAGCCCAGAGTCTGGTGAGACTTTGTCTAACACAGACTTCGGACCTGTCACCAGGAGGGCGCACTCCCTGCGAAGAAGAGCATGCCTGGTCAAAGACTAAGTTCCTTGATAAGATGAATTGGCACACTGGCTGTACCAAGGGGCTCAAACATGGCAACAATTGTGAGCCACGGGCATGACTGGGCAGTGTTTTGTTCTGTCGTGCATACGGCCGCTCTGGATTGGAGCAGACCCAAGGATATCTAGTAGCAACAACAAAGTGAGGGACAAAAACGAAGGGAGAAGACTAATGTAACACGAGATACGAGACTGGCAGGGGCAATGCAGCTCTTGAAATGCCATCTGCTTGTTAGAGGAGGCAGAGGCATACTCTGAGTTCCCTAACAGCCTGTGCAAAGAGTGAAACACAACCAGGCACAGGCTTGACTGTGCCATATTAAAGAACACAATCATTATTGAGGTGCTGATGCAAAGGTGGAAGTTCAATTTCTCTCAGAGTCACCTTGGAAGACAACTCTGGTGACACACTTCTAGGACACCCTACGGAACACAAGTCTACACTGTCATACACAGGGTCACCCGAGTCAGAAGTCATGTGATGGCAGCTTCCACACCAAACACCAGATATGTCTGTCCCGAATAGTCTCTGGTGAGCTGTTCTTTCTCTTTGAAGCTTTATTGGGTCAAGTTTTATAGATTTGCTATTCGAATAATATAGGAGACCAAGGATGAATGCTTTATCTCTAATTAGTATTTTTTGATATTCCTAAAATCTGAATCGGAGTCCTGGTGTGGCACTGTGGGCTAATGCGTCAGACTGCAAAGATGTTTGAGCTGCAAGGTCGGCAGTTCAAGCTCACCTGCTTATCCTTGGAAACCCTACACAGGGTCGCTATGGGTCGGAATCAACTCGATGACACTCCACAACAACAACATCTGAATCGGCATGTCTACCTTGAGAACCCAGTGTCACCATGCGTATCTTTTGAGAACATCAGTTAGTCTCTGCTGTGACATACTAGATGGTCCCTCAGTTTGGGGTCCCTCAAAGTGAACCACTCCCATCCACCACTGTGGTAAAGTGGGTGGCTGTTTCCATGGGAACCGGCACACTTACTTGGGTAGCACGAGGATCTGCACGAGGAAGATGCAGCAGAAGATGAAGCAAGCACAGGTCACGTAGTACTTGAACGCCGGCAGGGCGGTGGCTCGGTACTAGAGGGGAGGGAGACAAAGCAGCAATGAGAGTTCCTTCAGGAAGCTGTTGGGCTGCACTGAGGATACCCCCAGACCCACTGCCATCGAGCTGAATCAGCCCACAGTGACGCTACAGGACAGAGGAGAACCATTCCCTAGGGCTTCCAAACCGGTCATTGTTACCAAAGTAGCTCTCTCACCTTTGTTCTGCAGAATGGCTGGTGAGTTTGAACTCCCAACAGTTACCCACTGACTCTTCAGGATGTCTTGCTAGGACACAGCATGTGGGCAAACTGTGGCTACCACTGAGGGGGAGGTTTCCTCTTCTAGTTACACATTTTATGAGTGGAACTGGTCCAAGGGCCACTGAGATGCCACTGACACCTGATGTCATGGGGAGAAGGTCATGGGGAGACCATCAAAATGATTGAATGAACGGAAGGCTCAGTGGACTGGTCAGGCGCCCTCCGAGCATGTGTGGGAAAGACATGGCTTTTCACACGATAACACAGTGCTTTGGAGTAATTGTGAGGACATTCCTGGACATTGATCTACTTTTCAGCCTCATGCTACTGCTCCTAAGAGTGCTGGATCCAGCTTCCAGGCAGGGAAGGCTAGGGCTTTGGTCTAGGTCTGTGGTCATCCCGCTTGCTTCTCTGAGCCCTAGCTGATGGACGCTTCTCTCTTGTGGCCAGCAGACTCAGCAGGAGTCACACGACAGTGCTTACTGCCCAGGACAGGACAGTAGGGTGTCTGCCTGGGCTGCACTCCAGGTGGGAGTGAGGAAGACCTCAATGACAGCACCCTCCCCGCTCCTATAATCCTCACCACACCCAACAGCAACAACAAGGCTCTCTCCGGTTTTGGGTAAGGAAAGTCTTTCGGAGAATCTTTGCGTACCACACTCGGGAGATGGCATGAGCTCATTATTAACCGTCTGCTGGCTGGGAAGGGTCAGCTCGAGAACAGTAGGCTCTCGGGGAGGGTCAGCCCATGGGGGATGGTCAGTAGGTGGTGGAGTAGGTTCCAGATCGACAGGCTGTGGACACTATGCTCCCAGTCCTGGCAGGAAATGGACTCAACTGGACAGTGACCCAGTGAAATGGAAGGAGAGAGCATTTTATAGATAATCCCACGGGGTCCTCCTGGAAACCCCGGCCAGCTGCATTAGAGACTTTTGCCCAGACCGCTTCCCAAGCTCCAAGGAGACATTTGCATCCCGGGCTCCAGCGTAGGAGCTCTGAGAGCTGCTCTCTCCTTTAGGGGTTCGCTCCCTTCCTGCTTCCTGTGCCTTTCCCAGTGGCCTGCAGAGCAGTCAGGACAGACATCAATGGTCATCTCTGTGCTCGCTAACATTTGCCTCAGAACCGGCCTCTGCAAACATGGATCCACAAAAGCAGGAACAAGAGCTACATTTTTGGATGACCACCTTTCTGCTTACTAGAAATTCTTGGTGACTTTTGTGACTTAATAGAATAATTTACATGCAAACGAAGAACGTATGCTAGCCGGATGGCTGCAACGTGATGGTTATAGTTGAGCACATATAATGCATGCATGATACAGCTTCCTGCAAACCACACAGCTGTGCACATCAGTTTCCTATGCATGCAAGGTGCATTCTATACACCTGAAGTATCTTTCTCCATTTCTCCAGGATGTGGTACAGAGATACCAATAGGAAGTGGTGGTTGTTGGTGTGAAGTGCCGTGGAGTCAATTCCCACCCATAGCAACTCTGGATAGGGTTTCCAAGGAGCAGCTGGTGAGCTTGAACCCTCGACCTTGCAGTTCAAATAACTTTGCAGTCTGACGCATTTGCCCACAGTGTGGTACTGAGGTTTCAATGTATAACAGTGGAGGCGGATGAGAGGCTGCAACCTGACATTTAAACAGTAACGAGACATTCACACTTGTCAAAGTAATGCAAGACTAAGGCAGCCACTGGGATAAATGCCACTTCAATTTGAGATGCCATCTCTCTCAGAGCCCTTTACTCCGAAGCAGACAACCGCAAGTACAAAGGAAGGCCTTAATGTAATGGTAGAATGTAACATTGATGAGGTTTAGAAGGAATTAGGATAGTCAACATTTCCATAGAACAGTGAACTGAAAGATCTCCACAGAATTATTAATACCTGGGACAGCTGCCACAAATGGACAGTTTCTGTTCAAAGCCAGTCTATAATTACGTGGCTGGACGGTGGGAAACATTTCCAGTTCTTGTGTCTTTTCTCTTCAGCACTAAAACCCAAGGCAAATGACCGACGGCTGACCTAGAACTATTGTCCTCTCAGTGTAATTACTTAATTCGTTTGAGCAAACCCAGGTCAAGTTTGACATGTATAGACGAATTTCTGATGTGTTTATTTGTGCCTCAGTTGGCTCTTATCCCAGGAGATATAAATGCCAAGGATTAACATCCAACACAGCGTAAAAGTTTGGGTTTCTCATTTTCCCAAACTGGTGCCGAATATATGTCTCAGGATTTTTTTTTTTGGTTTTGGTCAAAAAGTTATTTGTGGAAAGATGCTGTGAATGTATCAGGGAGGATGTTATTTTCTTTTGAAACCTTCTCTCAGACAATTCCACACTGAGTATGCACATCTTCCCTCTGGACCTACCCCTAAACCCCCTTCCTCTCAGGCACTTTACAGATCTTTACTGCCAGGCGTGTGAGGTGTGGAAGTTGGCCCAAGAGAGAAAACTCAGTACTGAATACAACACATCCGGGACAAACCAATGAAAGATGAAAGGAATGTGGATACAGCTATTGTTTTGGTTAGGTGCTGTCAATGGACCACAAGGTCGGTGGTTCAAACCTACCAGCTGCTCCTCAGAAACCCTAGACAGGGTTGCCATGCGTCAGAACAGAGTCGACGGCACTTAACAACAACAACAACGCACAACAGACGTGAACACCGCCAGGTCCTTCGCATCCTCACAATGGTTGTTACGTTTGAGCTCACTGAATAGTTGTTCTAATTGTTGTTGTTGTTGTTGTGAGGTGTTGTCATTTATAGGACTGCATGCAAAACAAATAGAAACAGGAACACAGTCTCACAACAGGACGTTAAAATTTCACGTAAAACAGCTCACGAACACCAGTCGATTCTGAAGAAGATATGACTTACTTCTTTTTCGAGTATTTTATTGTAGAAAAACAGCGTGATTCTTTGAATGTCTTCAGATTTGAGCCACTGCCTGGGAATCAAAAGAAAAGATACATCGTGAAACAAAACTTCCAATCAAACACGTGGAATCACCTCTTTACTTTATCACATTTTTTTTTTTTTTCTTTAAAAATAAATGACATTCTTCTGTCTTTTTTTTGGAAAAGCTAGAATGCCAACAAGTGGATGCAGACTCCATTTACTGCCATCTCCGTGTCTGTAAATGTGATCTTCATATCACTCGCTGCCCTCCTTGGAGAATCGGACATTACGAAGCAATGCTCAGGCAAATCTAATCTCAAGTTCTCCAAGCCCAGGAACTCAGGAGACACATCATCAAAGGGGTCCAGCTCTCTGCTCCCTTTATTCCCGGTGGTTAGCTGATATCCCTGAAGGAGCAGGGCTGTGGAGAAGCATTGTGGACCTCACCAGCAGGCCCACACAGAGTACCCAAACCACAGTGTCTGCAGACTCTGGGTGAGAAGGTTGACCGAAAATACATTGGCTACCAATTTTTTCCAGTTCTTCAAAATACTGTTTCTTGAAACACACTCAATACTGTGGCCAAACAAACGTAAACATATACATGCAAAAGTGCTGTGCATATACATGCAAAGAAAAATGATAGAGAAGTACGCATTCCTGCACACTGGCGAGCGGGCTCTCAGAAGCCTGCTAGAAGGAACGCAATTAGAGAAAGCTGAAAGGCATAGCTTTTCACTATGGGGGTTTCTGTCCGTGCTAAAGGGCGACACCTGGCGTCTGGCGAAGCTTGCTGTGCGCAATCACACCTTCATGAACCGAGGTGAAGTGAAACAGGAAGACACACATGTTTATATCGATGAGTACAGTAACAGAAGAAGAAATGCTAATCGTTATATCTAGAAAAATGTCTAGAAATGGATACCAAATTAGTTGTTTGGGTCAGAAATCACAGAGGAATTTATGTTTGGTGGCGGTAGTGCACTGTGGAGTTGGTTCCAACTCACAGCGACCCTGCACAGGGTTTTCCAGGCTGCAAATTCTTTACGGGAGCAGAAAGTCTCCTCTTTCTCCCTAGGAACAGCTGCTAGTTTCAAACTGCCAACCTCGAGGTTAGCAGTGTGACTCGTAACCACTACGCTACCAGAGAGCCTTATGTTTGCATCCCTAATTTTTCTTAAATACCTTTGTCTTTTAAAATAGAAGAACCAAAGAGCATGTATACTCACACAAACGTGCATCTGCTAAACAAATGCTTGACAGTTTAACCAACAGCTGCTGCTCAGAAACCCTAGGCAGGTCGCTATGAGTCAGAATCGACTCGACGGCACTTAACAATGATATATCTCTACCTTGATATTTGTCTTTCTATAATCCACATTTGCTGAGATGATCCAAACTCATAGTGACCCAAACAGGACAGAGGAGAATTGCCCAAGAGGTTTCCGAGACTGTAATATGGTAACGTTACCTCTCCTTTCTCCCACAGACTCAACAGTGGATTCCAGCCACCAACCTTTCAGTTACTCTGAGAGCTTCATCACGGCACCTCCAGGTCGATACATAGACACAGACATGGATCTACGTTGTTAGGTGCAGCTGAGTCGGTTCTGACTCATAGCGACCCCTATGCACAACAGAACGAAACACTGCCGGATCCTACGCCCACCTCACAATTCCTGTGCTCGAGCCCATTGCTGAAAATATTCTGGCGCTATTCAAAATGTTTTCATATATATGAGTATATGAGGGGGCTTCAAAAAGTTCAAGGAAAGATAGAACAGAAAGATAAGGGATTTTTTTCCATGAACTTTTTGAAGTGCCCTTGTGTATCTCTATCTATCTATCTGTCTATCTGTCTGTCTGTCTGTCTTTTGTTGTTGATAAGTGCCATCGAGTTGGTACTGACTCATAGTGACCCTGTATAGGGTTTACAAGGAGTGGCTGGTGAGCCTGAACCGCCAACCTTGAGGTTCAAAACAAACTTGCAGTCCAGCGCATTAATCCACAGCATCACACCAGGACTCCTGTATACATATAGCTTATATAGATACAGATATGGATATATGTTGTTAGCAGCAGTTGAGGCAGTTCTGACTCATAGTAACCCTATATACAGCAGAATGAAACACTGCTCAGTCCAGTGCCAAGCTCACAATCGTTGCCATGCTTAAGCCCAATGCCGCTGCCATTGTGCCAATCCATTTCATTGGAAGGGTTTTTCTCCTTCTTGTTGACCCTCTAGTTTACCAAGCATGATGTCCTTCTCCAGGGCCTGATCCCTCCTGATAGTAAGT